TTTATTTATTTAATAATCATATACAGGGTTTGTTATTATGGTGGGCCATAGAAAAAGGAAAATCTTTTATTATTCATGTATTATAAACATTAACAATAAATAATGAAATCATCAACTTCTGAGAATGATGTTTTCTTCTTTCTTTTTTCTTTTTTTCTTTTTTTTTTTTTTCCTATGGAACTTATGAGGGTTGCAAATTCTCCATGTCAATCATTTACAGGACATCAAAGAGGTTATTCTATGTATATATGGAGAGAGTTTTATTTACAGAATGATGGAAATGGGAGTGCTGCTTTTCTCAAAATCTTGTTATAATCAAACGGCAAACTGAGCTGCTGCTAGCCTTGCAATGGGAACCCTGGAAGAAGAAATTTGTAATGAGAAATTTTAATCCGAATGTGAATTAAGTTATGAAATATTGCTGAATGTTTTAAGCACTGAACCTGAATGGAGAACATGAAACATAGTCCAGTCCTGCCTCTGCAAAGAATGCAACAGAAGAAGGCTCCCCACCATGCTCCCCACATATTCCAACCTGTTTGTTCATCATCATATCAATAATTTAAGAACAAAAAAACTCATACCCTTAGCATCAGAAATAGCTTGGAGAAAATGAATATGGTAACAGGACATAACATAATTGAACTGTTTTTGTGTTAACTCCAAAATGTTTAAGGATGGATCAGATATTAATGATACTAACCTTCAAGCTTGGCCTCGCTGCACGACCCTTTTCTGTGGCCATCTTGATGAGCTGACCTACACCTTTCTGATCAAGAACCTGAAAGGCAAGAGGATATGCATCATTTTTCTGTTGAGTAATGAATCCTAACTAGTTCTCTTTTGTATATACATATATGCAGGTGAAAGAATTTGCATTTCTTTGTAGTTAACTAACCTCAAATGGATCACTTTGCAGAATGCCTTTAGATAGGTAAATTGGAAGAAATTTGCCAACATCGTCACGGCTATACCCAAATGTCATTTGAGTGAGATCATTGGTTCCAAAGGAAAAGAACTCTGCCTCCTTTGCAATCTATTATTTGTCAAATAAAAAAGGCATGGTTAACTAGAAATATATATATCTGTTCTTGAAATGGTTTGTCAAAAATATACAGTGTTTATGGGATAATGTCAGGACTATTTGTATAGAATACCTCATCAGCAACCAGGGCGGCTCTGGGGATCTCAATCATAGTTCCGACCTTATAGCTTAAGGAGGTATCCATTTCAGAGAAGACTTTCTTTGCAACACTTCGTATTAAACTGACCTGATGTCCCAGTTCCTGTAACTTCGTAATGTCAATTTTCTGGAAGATGGAATATGCAGTGTTCAAACTCGTAACAAATGGAAATATTGTAAATCCTGTTCATATCTATATGTCAAAATCGAAGTCGATGGAAAAAAGAGGAGCAAGAAAGTTCATGCCTGAGGTGTTCCAACAAGGGGCACCATTATCTCAGGAAGAACTTTGACTCCATGGTTGCTCATGGAGACAGCAGCCTGAAAAATTGCACGTGCCTGCATCTCAGTTAGCTCAGGGTATGATATCCCTAGCCTGTTCACAAAATGACAGAAACCAAGTAACCAACATGAAGAATGCTAACATGGTTCAATTATATCTCTAGCACACGCATAATATATGCTTTCTAGATGTCACTTTGTACGTTATCGGCAAAAAAGATGGATCAGAAAGAAACTAGACCTGCATCCTCGAAAACCAAGCATGGGATTAACTTCAGATAATTTTTCAATTCTTGAGAAAACTTCATCCTCAGCCATGCCAGTGTCTAAAGTTAATTCACTCACTATAAATTCCAGTTCGCCCTCAGGAAGAAATTCATGTAGTGGAGGGTCCAACAAACGGATTGTTACTGGAAGGCCTGAAAATGTAATACATTAGTTTATTCTACTAGTAATTAACTAGATGAAGAGAAAAAAGCACAATGAAATCCCAGATGCATATTAAGGACAAAAACAAGTCCACAATGAAGATCAGAGGAGAAACTAAATACCATCCATTGCACGGAAAATTCCCTCAAAGTCGGATCTTTGGTAAGGAAGTAACAGGTCTAGGGCTGCTTTTCGCTGTTCAGGTGTTACTGCCATTATCATCTTTCTGACAGCCCTGATCCTCTCATCTGAAGCAAAGAACTGAAACAATATCCCAAAACATCAAGCTATCAGAATATTTATTTACATCAGTATCAGATAAGGCATAATAGCTACAAAGCATATAAGTTTGTTGATGTGGTGCCACTGCTTGCACTGGAAAATTTATGTACAAAGCATATATATAGCACATAAGTTTATTGCAGGTCAACATATTACATTAATTCATTCTGATTGCCAAAGTTTCTTGTCCTACAAGGTAATCACCAGAAGGGAAAATCCATTAAATTACAACCCTCCACCCCTCTTCAAGTTCATATGCAGCAAAATAAGCATAATCCCTTAATTGCTGAAGTTCACCTATTATAGTCCTCATTAGAATATAATGGACTATTCAATTTCTGGTGTTAAAGTACCTCGCAGAAATTGCAGAAATATAATGTGCATATCTATCTCTATATGCTGATATACTGATAATGATCTGAAAGATTATGTCAGAAACAAATACCATGTGTTCTGTCCTGCAAAGGCCAATCCCTTGAGCACCATTGTTTCTTGCTGTTTGTGCATCTTCAGGTGTGTCAGCATTTGCCATGACCTATGATGATATCATAATGGTTAATTAGTTGAAAGTTCTTCTAGCTACTAATGTACATAACAGAGACCAGTGAATTGGCTTTGGAACCTTGATACGCCTAATATCATCAGCCCAAGACATAAAGGTTTCCAGATCACCACTTAGTGCTGGAGGAGAGAGTGGTTGTTTTCCTAGAATCACTTCACCAGTGGAACCATTGAGTGAAAGCCAGTCTCCTTCTTTAGTCACCACGTCCCCAACCACAAGAACCTGCGTTATTAATAAAGTGATATACATAAGTAAGTCCATGCTATTCCTTCTGAAGCGGTTAAATATATATAAGGAAGAAGAGTCTAAACTTCACCTTCTCAGAATCATTCACATGAATATCCGCACAGCCAGAAATGCAACACTTTCCCCACCCACGTGCCACAACAGCTGCATGAGATGTCATGCCACCTCTAGCTGTCAAAATCCCAGCAGCTGCGTGCATACCCCCCACATCCTCTGGACTGGTTTCTGTCCTTACCTTCAACCATGTAAAACCATGAGAAACTTCAGTTCCTTAATTCAATGTGGCAAAGAAAGGGCTTCCAATTTGCATAGTACAATAATAATTCCAGGGGATGGTGAACTTGAGCATGAAGTGAAATGGTTTTCTTTTGAAATCAACCCTTTGAGTTCCACAAAAAAAATGAGTAATACCATCTATTCATTGTAATTTCTTTGGCTGTGAAACAAAATATCAGACATAACATCAATTTAGCTTAAAAGAAGAAGGGAATAAATGTTATAATCAAACGTGAAAATGATCATATACCAGGATCACACTCTTTCCCTGTGCATGCCATGCTTCAGCATCATCAGCACTGAACACAATCTGCCCCACTGCTGCGCCAGGAGAGGCAGGTAAGCCCTTGGCAACCACTTTGTCTTTATAAGCAGATGGATCTTCAAACTAACCAAACAACATATAAATTAATTTGCTTAGGAGTTCAACTAAGTATAAATTTAATATCGAAAACTAATACTCAAGATTTACTTGAGTTAATACGTATTCTGCTCCATTGGTTTCTGCTATCCTCTGAATCGAGGTTGATTTTAGTTCCCAATCAGAATAAGGTTAGTTTTATGGTTCAGTCCATTAATACTTGATCAATGGCAAGGTATAAATGTCTTACCATCTATGGTCAAGTCTATTTGGACAACAAACTTTGAAGTTTTATTACTATTATAGTAATCACATATATACCTGTGGATGAAGGAGTTGGTCCAAGTGTTGTGGCTCCACCATCTTAATTGCAGCATGAGTATCAACAAGCCCTTCATTAACCATGTCTACAGCAATCTTAAATGCACCTTTACCAGTGCGCTTGCCAGATCGGCATTGCAACATCCATAACCTATTTTCTTGAACAGTAAACTCAATATCCTGCAATTTACCAGGGAGAGAAGACAGCTTAATAATTCTATTACAAGGATGTCAAAAATGATCATCATAATTTTTGTTTAAAAATAATCTTGAGATGGCAATATTCTCTTTGATTTTATCTACAAAAGAAAAAATTAATTAAGAAACCAAGAAAACAATTAATATATATAGTAGAGTAAAATTACATTCATATACAAGACAATAGGAACTTTACCATCATATCTTTATAATGTCGTTCCAGAATTTCACAATTCTCAACGAGTTCTTTGTAAGCTTCAGGCATGCAACTTTTCATTGTTTCCAAGTCTTCCGGTGTTCTGATTCCGGCAACTACATCCTCTCCCTATCCACAGCAATCCATCAGTGAGTTTTTTGTAGTAATCATTGCACTGTGAAAAGAAGTTAGAGGGTAGGAGTGAGGTGAACAAGATTTTGCATCTAAAACCTGAGCATTGACTAGGAACTCTCCATAGAGCTTCTTTTCCCCAGTGCTTGGATTTCTAGTGAACAAAACGCCTGTCCCTGAAGTATTTCCCATGTTTCCAAATACCATTGTCTGAATGTTCACTGCTGTTCCCTTTAGTCCAGTAATTTGATTGATACTTCGATACTTAATGGCCCTAGGGCTGTCCCAAGAATCAAAAACTGCCTTAACAGCTAACTGTAATTGTTTCTTTGGATCTACAGATAGATGAAAGATGTAAGCTTAAAATGTATCCTCTCCATTATTCTAAAATGAAGGGAACTAACAGTGGAAAGTGTCTTAGTATGAACTTTAAGGGAGAAAAATAAATGGAATTATTAAACGTTTTAGCATCATACTTTTTACCTGAAGGAAACTCTTCACCCTTTGCTTCTAGATAGACTTTCTTGTATTGTTCTACCAGCTCCTTAAGATCAGCTGCTGTGAGATCAGTATCAAGTTCAACTCCTTTGGATTCCTTCATCTTTTCTAACTTCTCCTCAAACAATGAATGTGGAATGTCCATTACCTAAAAATTAAACAGTAAGAGGCTTAAAATAGAACTTCAGCAATGACCAAAAAAAAGAGGTGACAGGATTATTCTGAAACCAAAACAAATGTAATAGAGTGACTGGCAGCAGCTCAACATATCAAAGATTACATTGATTGAAAGAATGAAGCAATGCATAGGAAGCCTAACTAAAAAATCCATTACTTGAGATATATGAGAGAATTATATCAAGTACTACTTACAACATCTCCAAACATATCTAGAAAACGACGATAAGAGTCATAAGCAAAACGCTCGCCACTTTTTGCAGCCAAACCAGAAACCACTGTATCATTTAGTCCAAGGTTAAGGACAGTATCCATCATGCCTGGCATTGAGATCTATACACAAGGAAGAAAAATCAGTCAAAATAAGCCTCGTGTAATCTGTAAATACTAATAGATGAATTAGTTTTATGTGCTTGGTTATGATCAGACCACTACACGTCAAGTATAGATGCATAATCCATTGGATCAACACAGAATGAAAACTTTCTAAACTCTTACTGCAGCACCAGAGCGAACAGATAGGAGGAGTGGCTTGGAAGGATCATCAAGGGTTGCTCCCATTTCCTTCTCCACACTCTTCAACCCTTCCAATATGTCCTCCCACAGGCCTTCTGGTAGTTTCTTTCCATTCTGCTGATATTCTTGGCATGCCTCTGTTGATATGGTAAGTCCTGGTGGCACTGATAACCCAATGCTTGACATCTCTGCCAGATTTGCTCCCTTCCCTCCCAACTACATCAATCACACATGTATCAATCTTTATGTGTTAACATTACTATAATTGCTATCTGGAATGCATAACCTAAACAATTGGTCAAGCCAAAATGAAACCAAGAGATTGCATTTGAATATAAATCAATAGTGCAAATAGATTCACTGTTTGAGATATTTGATTTAAAGTAAGAACACACTGGACTAAATAAGCTTCTGGAGAAAACAAGAGCCACCTACCATGATATCAAGTTGGTTTAAGCCTCTATATTTTAGTAGGACGCATACACAGAGAAAGATGCACAAATTTAAAAAAGTAAAGAGAAAAGCAGATAGATTTTCAATAACTTTTTCACTGTAGAGAGTTAGTGAAGAATGATTACCAGGGACTTCATGCTCTTGTCGCCTTCACTCATTCCTTTCCCGAAAGTAAACACACGCTATACCAAAAATTGACAACCGAATTTAGAAGTTAGTAAGGGTAGTAGTGGCGGTAATACTATCAAAAGTATGATTTACATGGAAGGCAAATGTCATTATGCTTGGTAGCTACATTCGCATAAGAGTCTGTTTGCATAAAAAGCAAGAGATGGCTAGATCAATCAAAACTAAATCCTGGAAGCTAGGAATTCATCTTGATGGGAGCATAGTAAAGTTTTCCAAAGTTATAAGAGAATTAAGTGATTGTACCTTCTTTGTAACAGCTGTTGTATCTGATGCTGGGGTGAGGATTGCCTGTGCATGGGTTTGACCGCGAGACAATGTCTCATCCCTCTTCTGTTTTGAAAATGAGAACCCCATTTTAGTGGCAGGTGAATCCTGGAAACAACAGGTAATACCAAGGTGGCTTCGCCGCCTCACAGGAAGGAATGATCGATTTTCACTAAGAAGATGAGAATGATCAAGGTAATTCCCCCCCTTGAACAGCTCCTGGTTATATATGAGTAAACCTCTCATTGCTGAAGACATTTTTCTCCAGCTTTTTCCTGCTTTTATAGGATACTCAATTAGCAACATCTTTGATGAACCTTGCACAAGTTATGGCAAGTACCAAAAATTCAACTTCCTTTTAAACTAATCAATTTTCAAAATATATTGCAAGACACAGAAAATACTAGTCTCCTAAGCTAATCCCAATCCAATAATCTAGATTTCTGACAATAAATTAGAAGAAAATATCCATCTTCCTTTACAGCATGCTTCAATCCAACCCCAAGTCCAGAACAACTACATATAACCAAGAATTATAGGAAAGTAACCTTTGCAGGTAACCAAGTCACTGTAAATGATCATACAAGAGAAAGAAGAAGAAGAGAGAAAGAAATTATCAATTAGACAACATGATTAGCTAATCCTAATCCTAATCCAAGAATCTTGGGTTCCAACTATCCGGGATGATGAATTTGAAGACAATATTCATCACCCTTTTGAGTAAAACTTCAAGCTCATCATGTTGTGAATTTGCATGCAACCAAGGAAACCACATATGCTTATCAAAGAAAGAGGAAGAACAAGAAATTAAGAAAATCAAAACAGGCAACAAGTTGATTACTTGATTATAACAAAAACATTAAAGTTGGCCCACAAAACAAAAACATTAAAGAAAAGATAAAAGGGTTTGTTAATAAAGAATTCACAAGTAGCAGAAAAATTTAATAAAATTTAAGCAGTAAAGCTTGGAGAGTAGAGAGAGACATACAGTTATCAAAGTTGAGGTTGGAAAGGAGAATGAAGACAGGTTCCTCAGACACAGGAACTGCTTCTCCAAGGAAAAAAAAATGGGTTTTTTTTTGTTTTTTTGGAGGTAATAAATTTAACAAAAAAGATATTTTTTTCTTAAAATTAGATAACACAATAAAAATTTATTTTAAACACTAAAATTATTAAAATTTTGTTAATAAAACACTTTTTTATGTTATTTTAGTAATAAAATTTTAATAATTTCAGTACTCGAAATGCATAAAATACCTTTTTTTTTTAACAGAAAAATCTAAAAAATAATGGAAAAAAAAAAATAAGGCTTTGATGAATGACATGAGTGGATGGAATTACAGTTGAGGCGCTAACGGAACTTTGAATTGCCTGAATTGCCCAAAATACCCTCGGGGGAAACGGTTTCAAGTCAGAGAAGTGCTACGATCCACAGGCTTTCATTGAATGCGTCACATCATATATGACGTGTCACGTAATGATTGGTCTGTCGTAAGTCATAATTTTGGATAATTCTGTGACAGATTGCCCGATATATGAGTCATCCATCCACCCTGTCATTGGCACACAAAGTAAGAATGCCACGTAATTTGTTTTTATTTCGAATAATTATTGTTTAATATAATTATTTATC